TCGAGGTCATCAGAAATATAATCTGCAATTATTTTTGAAATAATAAGAATCGCCCTGTATAATATAATATAATTATGATTTTACGATAAACATTGTATTTTATTTCATCTTTGTTTAAAAAAATGTTATTCTAGTTATAAACTTGTACTCAGTTGTTTTCTGATAAAATATATATTTATTATTACCATTATTAAGTTGGTTTGTTTTATTGATTGGACTTATAAATCCATCAACGTCCTAATATGCCTAAATGTGCAGTAGTAACTTGTAAGGGATCTAAGTCCCCTGATAAAAGGATCATGTTACATAGATTTCCCAAAAAGGTAAGTTTACAGACAAAGTGGGTTAAATCATGTGGACGAGTTGACAGTATAAATGTATCTACTGGTGAGTCAATAATATTTAATTATACTTTATTATTTATATTATATTTGTGTAATTGTAACTATTCAGAAAGAATATGTTCTCGACATTTTCATAGTAGTGACTATTTTAAGCCACTAATTCAAAAAATGCTGGGATATTCACCGAAAATTCCCCAGAAACTGAAAGTCGATGCTGTACCATCTTTAAAAGTGGTATTTTTCACATTTATTATAATACAAATATGTGTGTTTTGTTTATACTGTTTAAAATAGATATTTATTTACTTAAATGTAGCCAGTATGTTTGAAAAGCCCTCGGACTTATAGCCGGACAGTGTCATTAATGTCACCACAATTTACAGTAGAACCATCTTCTAACACAAGGGTTTCAAATGTATGCAACTAATAAAATTATAATAAAAAAAAAAATTTAATTTATTATATTATGAAAATCATACTTTTATTTTATATTTTATATATAATATTCTATTTGGTTTTTTTGATGAAATGAAGATTTCTGGAGAACATAAAATTTCAAAGCGGCTTAACTTTAATGTTGATGACAATTTAAACATGGATTTCTGCAGCACTGTAAAATAATAAAATAAAATATGTGTATTTCTCAATTAAATTTAACAAATCAATTAATTTTAGACAATGGATGAATTGAATAATGACAGCTTACTTGCCACTTCATTATGTGAAGAAATTGAAATTGTCAATCCCGAAGAAGATATTAGTTGTACCGATGCAAGCACTCAAACCAATAACGTACAACTTGTTGATACTAGTTCACAATGTGATGATAATGGAACTGAAGTTTTACAGTAAAGAATACAAATTTTGTTATTTAGGAAATAATATACACAATTAATTTTTAGATTACAGGCTGTTTTATTTGAGATGCATAGTAAACTAAAAAAAGAAAAAGAATTAAATGCCACATTGAAAAATACAATAAAATTACAACAAGATACCATTAAGTCATTTGAAAATAATAATAACAACCAAAATCTTGAAATTAAATTAAATAAAGTGTTATCTGGTATGTTCACCAATACTCAAATAAAATTACTAATGGAGCCAAAAAAGAAAGTATACAAGTGGACAGAAGACGATATTGCCAGTGCCATTACCTTAAGAAGTTTATCGCCTAAGACATATAAATACCTAAGAAACGAAAAAAAATATCCTTTATCAGGTTACAAGACTAATAAACTTTCAATTAACAAATCCTTTTGATCTAAAATGTACACTTATTTTTTAAACATGATTTAGGACTTTCTACTTTAAGAGGATGGGCTGGCCGGTTTCATATTGAACAAGGAATTTTGTTTTCAATATTAAACATTATGAAGCATAAAAGTAAACACATTATAGACAATAGAATATAAATTGATTTAGGTACATGTTTATGTATAATTTTTGCAATAGGTACCTTAATGTCAGCTAGAGATAAAATAACAATATTGGCCTTTGATCAGACATACTTGTCCCAAAAGATTTGTTATGACAAAAAATATGAGCAGTTCATTGGACCACATAAATGTGTGCAGACTTTAGTAGCAAGAGGTATAACACTTATATTACGACTTGATTTTTCAATAAAATAAATTTGAAAAAAAATAAAATCTGTGGTAACTTATAATACTAGGTCTAATTTCATCTTGGCGGCAACCAATATACTACCAATTTGATACACAAATGACTAAAGAAATACTGTTCAATATAATAAGTCAGTTAAATGAAATCGGTTTTGATGTGAGGGGTGTAGTAAGGGACATGGGTCCAACAAATAGAAAACTGTGGAATGAATTGGATAGTTCTATTGAGAAACCTTATTTTATACACCCAGAAAGTGAAACAAAGCGAGTACACATTTTTGCGGATGTTCCACACTTACTTAAATTAATCCGCAACCATTTTGTTAATAGGTAAAAACAAAATATACTTTATAATAATTGATGTCTGCTCACTCTTCAATTATTAAAAATTATTTTTATTTTAGTGGATTTTTGGTGAATGGGAAATTTATACATAAAGGCGTATTGGAAAATTTATTAAAATTAAATAAAAGTGATTTTAAATTGGCTCATAAAATTACCGAGAACCACATAAATGTGCCACAAGCAAAAAAACAAAATGTTAGATTTGCTGCACAATTATTATCTAACACTGTAGCAAGGGCTATTTTATTCTGTGGTGAAAATTTTGAAATTGACTACACTTATTGGAAAGAGGTTTGTAATTATCTAACATTGCACTATGTCTTGGCATATTATATAAGTTATTATTTTTGTTTTGTTAATAATTTTTTTTAAGGCATCTGAAGTTATTCAATTAATAAACGATTTGTTTGACTTATTAAACACCCTATTTCCAGTTGATAAATTTGTGAAAAGTTATGGTATGGACCTGGAGAAACAAAATAAACTCTTAAAAAAAATGGACGAATTTATAATGAATATGAGAGTTTATGGACATAAATCTATGTTACCTTTTCAAAAAGATTATTCAATTTATTTATTTATTCACACATAGAGTATAATAATCTAATAATATATACAACATATAAATATCACATGTTCAATTGATTTTTGGTAAAAGTAAATAGGTTATTTTATATAAATTTAATTAATTCCACTTTAGGTATTTTGTACACTAATGAATCGTTAAGAAATTTATTAGCAGACTTAAAATTGGACTACTCTGATATACATTATTTGATAACGAGACGAGTGAATCAAGATATGTTAGAGAACCTATTTAGCTACTTAAAAGGAATGAATGGAGCTAACACACACTTGACCCCTATGGCTTTAAACATTGGTAAACATTTAATTTTATTACATTTAAATTTAATTTTTATTCAAACTCATCTTTATATTATTATTTCAACAGTCTTAAATGGTATCTTTTGGGCAAACATGCATATGTGGCATTTACAGAAGGTAGGAATACAGAGGATACAAATGGAGAAAATTTAGTTGACACTGAATGTCTTTCGTCTTCAGTCTTAAAAAAAATGTGAAATTTACAGTGAAGAACTAGCCGAGGTCAATTCAATTGATAGTGTAGGTAGGGGTAAAGTTTCCCAAGAACAAATGGATCTTCTAAAATGTTTTGAAGAGCAGGTATCTAAAAATTACACATATATATATTGTTATGTTATCTTAATAGTAAATATGATATATTGATAATCACAATTTATCCATCACTGTAGTTTAACATACCAGAAAAAAGCATAGAGAACGAGGCACAAGAATATGTCGTTGGCTATGTTGCAAAACGTTTTATATCTAAATATCCTAATTTAGGATATAAAACTGAAAAGTTGCATGGCAATGAAGCTGCGTCTAGCTGGATACAAATAATGTCTAACGGCCATTTGATAACCCCATCAAATGAACTTCTGTTGGCGGCAAAATATATGGAAGATGAATTTCAAAAACTGCATGGTAACAATATTAATAGAAGCAGTAATATAATGGAACAACTATTTAACACTGTTAAACAATTATATAGTTTACCTGATGAAGTGATCAAATGTTTGGTTAGGACTAGAACGTTTATTCGCTTCAATGCATTAGGTTAGCCTAACCTAACCTAACCTAACCTTGAACATGATATGCCTAAAAATATATCAACAAAAAATAAAATTAGAAAATTTATGGTATAATCAAATGTGTATACTTTTTTATTGTTTTGTATTGGGTAATTTGGTTTTCAAATAATTAGAGCTATAGAATATGAACAATAAGGTAAGCAAAAAGGTAAGTATAAAACCCAGTAACCATATTATATTTATATCATACCAGTAACTTAACAATCACTTAAAGAAACATGAATAATAATAAATTACCTTTCAATAGTATAGATTACAGCATTACTTTTTCAACTGTTTGCGATTCAAATTGCTGAAAATTATCCAATTCTAATGTATTTTACTACAATTATTATTATACTAAATAGTATGAATAATGAATGCATTAGGATAAAATCATCTGGTTAATTTATCATGGGATATGTAAATGAAAATAATTATCACATATAATATTTTAACATTAAAAGTAAGCAAGTCTATACTTTTAACATTTAACTAGACAAGGTAAGTACATTAATTTTTAATTACAATTACAAAGTAATTAAAAAATATAAATAAAAATCATTCAAAACTTAACGGATGTTAATAGTTAATACAACCATAATATAAGATATTTAGATAAAATAAATAATAAGTGATAACAACGTATTATGATAACAGCCGACGGACCGAATGCGCAGAGCTCTGTTGCTGTCATACCATGACATGGTAAATTATATCATGGCCTGTACCTTGTACCGGTCGTCGATTGCGTACCCTATTATGATAAAAAGACTTTGATGAAAACTCCCAAAACCCATAACAGAATAGAAAATATGTTACTACCTATTCTTAACAAAAATAATGCTAATATGTATGTACCTTATCATGTTTTAAAAATAGGCATTAATATTGATGGGCTCCCTATTTCCAAAAGTTCTAAATCCCAATTGTGGCCAATATTGATTTCTGAGTTCTGTTTTCTGTTCTGAGCTTATTAATCATGTTGTGGCTGTAGGAATATATCATGAAGATGAAAAGCCTAATTCATCATGCCAAAGTTTAATAAAAGAACGTTAGCAATGATGGCAATTATTTTGGACGAGGAAGAAGAGAATTGTCACCAAAAACGTAGAACAACATTTGTTCGAGAAATGTTAATTAAAAGAAATCAATTTGGGGAATATCATACATTGTTCAATGATTTACAAGATGATGAAACTTCATTTTACAAATATTTTAGAATGTCACAACATCAATTTTATGTTCTGTTATCTAAACTCGATTTTCAAATCACAAAACAAAATACAACATTTCGAGAAGCTATAAGTGCTAAGGAAAAGTTAATGGGGTGCTTACGGTAAATATAATAATAATATTCGTTTATAAAATAAAAAAATTGTTATAAACCTTACTTGTTTATTTATATATTGACTTCACATATTATAATATTTTACTGTTATTATAAAACCTTGAGTGATTCAGTATTTTAACAAAACAATAAAATGTCAATACATATTTTGAACATTTGTAGGATCAAAGTTTTCATAAAAATGTTGAGTAGTAGTTGATGTTGATGATGATGGTCTAGAAATAGTAGATGGTGTTGGTGTTTGATTATATTGAATCGTGTTTTGGGATTGTGCCACTTGAGTGTTAGAGCAAAAATATGATGTTGAAAGATTTATTGATAGTTGGATTTGAGGATTAGCTGATTTATTTTGCAATTGTGCCCACTCTAAATCAGACACTATCCCAAACAGTTTGTTTTTTGCCATTCTGGAGAAAATGTTTTAACAAATGTTTCGATTGGATGCGCATAAGATGTTGCGTTTGGTTCATCATTTGTCTCGTTATCCAATATTTATTTCATCAAAACAGATGATGCTGTTTGTGGTTTATTATTTTTTTTTTGTCTTAGAATAATATGAAGCTGGAATTTTCATTTTTTTTGGAGATTTTGTTTTTTGTGATAGCGACCCCATAACCTAACGTTTTGACGGAATTTCTTTTTCACTTTCTTCATCCACATTTAGAACATCATTATTTGTAGTTTTGTCATTCTTATTGGAAATATCTTCGTCATTTGACTCTTCACTAGCACTTTCTGGAGATAATATGTTAGAATACGTTTCTCGTTCTTTAAAAAATGGTATTACAAAAGACATGCAGTCCTCATACTTCCATTTTTTTTGTATGTCCGCTGATTGTCCACTTTTTGTTTTTTTCTTTTTTATTGCCTTCCTAAGTTGATCTCTGAGTGAGATCCATCGATTTTTACATGCTATAAAATAATATAAAGAATGTATAAACATTAGCATTTTCTATAAATCATAATGTTTCTAAAATATTTTTATTTATCTTGAACTATATTGACGGACATTCTAAGTTTATAATTTAATTAGGTTTTTTTTCTATAGATGTCCATAAGATTTGTTTTTTTTGGGTAAAAAAGCTTGACAATTTAATACACGGCTCCTAATATATTGTTACAATGATAGGTATTTGAAAAATATTAAAAATCCGTAGTCACAATTTCAAATATTGACAAAATACGTAAAAATCACGAAAATGTGCAAATTTTTAGTTAGAAATTCATAAAAAATGTTCTTTTCAAATCTAAGATTTGAAAATGTAACACAAGAGTTCTCATAAGATTGCTTACCCTTTATCAAAAAAAAAAAATATCTAATACTAAGTCAAATAAATTTTCAATCCTTAGTTAAAATGCTTGGATTTTCTTGGAAAGTGAATTTAGTGAATTTAGTTGTTACTTGGGTGGGGGGGGGGGTCGAAACACCAGCTTGTCTAGAATATACAATAATTATAACTTATAAGTGTAATTATTTAATTTTTAGATTCTTAGCAACTGGTGACTCATTTCAAACCATTGCATTCAGTTTTCGCTTGGGGCATTCTACAGTTCATAATATAATTAAAGATGTCTGTGTAGCCATAATAGATAAGTTATTAGTTGAAGTAATGCCACTACCAAAAGAAGAAGACTGGGAAAAAATTGGGAATGATTTCTGGAATATATGGAACTTTCCAAATTGTTTGGGAGCGCTTGACGGCAAACATGTAGAAATTTTCGCTCCTCCTAATAGTGGCTCACAGTTTTACAATTGTAAACGGACATTTTCAATTTTGTTGATGGCGCTAGTGGATGCGAATTATAAATTCATTGCCGTCGATGTAGGTGCTTATGGGAAAGTAGTGACGGTGGAATTTTCGCGAACTCTAGTTTTGGAAAAGCCCTTGAGAAGAATAAATTAAACGTACCAAAAGATTGAAACCTTCCTGGAACTCAATCTCCAGCGACTTTTGTAATTGTTGGAGATGAGGCATTTCCCTTAAAACCTTATTTGCTTAGACCATATCCAGGCTCAACGAATAAATGGGGACATCGAAAAACAAATATTCAATTATAGATTGTCTCGAGCTCGTCGTGTATCGGAAAATGCTTTTGGAAATTTGGTACAAAAATTTAAAATTTATTTTAGAAGCTTAAATTTATTCCCTGAGAAGGAGATAAAGTAATATTAACGACATGTATTTTACATAACTATATCAGGGGCGTCATTTGGGGTATTGCAGGGTATACCTAAAATTATCAAGATGCAATTTGGCCCGACTATAATTTTTCTGCGCCGGGCAATAATTATCCTTTTAGATTCTGAGTGAAACGATGAATGTATTGATTTTACAATGATGTGTGTTTATTTATTTTTTTTTATTTTTTTGTGTCTGTACACGATAAGTAGTCGAAATAATGCTTCGATTTTCAACTTCAGTATCTTATTCGATTGGAAAGTGAATATCGTTGGTGCATTGGGAGGTCAAAATTTAAATTTCTTTGTAGTTTTCAAAAGCGCCGGGAAAAACAAAAGAAAAATTAAGGAAAAACGGGAATTTTTACGCAAAATCTGTTTTCGAGAAAATCGATTTTGGATTTTGGTGTAACTTTAAAACAAATGACCGTAGATACATGAAATTTTCAGTGGTTGTTTATATTTGCATTTTATATACACGATAACATTTTCTAAATATTTTGATTTATTTTGAACTGTTTAGGGACATTTTCATTTTCCATTTTTTTTTGGATTTTTTTCTAAAAATATCAATAAAATTTCATTTGTTGGTTGCGAAAGCTTGAAAATTTAATAGAAGGCTCCTAGTATATTGTTTCAAAGGCAGATGAAAAATATTAAAAATCGTTAGTCACAGTCTTTTTTTTATAAGAATTTAAAGCTCAAAACTTGACAAAATATGGAAAAATCACGAAAATTAGCAAATTATTTTGAGTTAAGAATTCGTAAAAATTTTTCTTTTTAAATCTAAGATTTGAAAATCTAATACAAGATTACTCATAAGTTTGTCTACCTTTATCAATAAAAAAATCTCTACCGGAAAGTCAAATATTATGAGCGTTTGAAATACAAATTTTTACAACATTGGATATTCACTTGAATTCTCATGTAGCGATTTTCTTATTTTGTTGTAATTCAAAAACGAATAACTGTAGATACATGAAAATTTCACTGAATGTTCATATTAGCATTTCCTATACACTGTACAATTTTGAAAATATTTCGACTCTTCTTGAGCTGTTTACGAATATTTTCAGTTTTCAATTTTTTTAGTTTTTTTTTTCTATAAACTAGACTGACATACCGTCTTCGCTCAGAATCGTTTTTCTTATACAATGATATTGTATCATTGAATTCAAATTTAATACCATCTATTATACAGTGACCCACTTATAACCTACTGTACAGCAGAGCGACATCCACTTACCCACCTTTTTTTTTTTATATATATATAATTGGTTTCGACATGTATCGGCATCTATCATTTATTAGTTAAAATTTTTTTTTCTAATAATTATAGTGTATATAATAATATATATTGGCCTGCTGAAAATTTTTTTGGCCTGCCCTGATGTTAGCATACCTTTCAAAAAGTTGAAATGACGCCCCTGAACTATATCAAAGACAATATACTGATTGCACAGCATTTCGATCCTATCGAAGGAGAACCTAACTGGTCAAATCTACCAAGGCAAGGAGGAAATGCAAACAATTCTGCATTTTATGTACGTGAAACATACAAAACTTTTTTTAATAGTGATATTGGATCATTGGCATGGCAAAAAGACAAATTCGTATGATTAAAATATATAAAATAATATAATAATATTATAAATTAGTAATAATATTATTATTTATTATATTATATAAATATATATATATCATCATTATAATAAAATTAGTCTAAATTTAATATAATATAATGCAGTAAATAAAATAAGTATTCAACTAAATGAAGTATATAATAAAGTATAATAATAAAGTTACATTACCTGTTGTGTTCAATTCTTTTCCTATTTTCGTCCATATTATATCTTTATGATGATTATCACTATAGGGTCAAATGGGGTAAATGGAAATTGGGGCAATAGGAAAAAAATATTATGTAAAATAAATTATTAGTGATTATGGAATTTGGTATCATGGTTACCACAGCAAACATATGTTATGATAGTGTGCAATGATAAAAACATGGACAATTTGAGGTTATGTACAAATCGTTATCGTTCGAAAAAGTGTTTATGATTATTTTAGTTTATATTTTCTGCCCAACGGCTTCTGAGAAGGATATCTTCATCAAAAATGTAAGTAGAACATTATAGTTTGAACTAAATTATCATTATATTTATACTTATTTACTATACAGTCCTAAAACCAGTTTAATATCGCTTTTTCTATGGAATTATAGTTGCTTTGTAAAATACGAAATTAAAGTCGATCGGGGTAAATGTAAATTTGGTTTCGGGGTAAATTTAAATATTTATAACAAATATAATTTGAAATATTTTAGTCTTTTTAATTATTTTTTTTTCAACTCGAGGGTGTGCAATTACGTCAAAAAAACATCAGGACCAAAATATACTGTTGAAGATGTCGAAAAAGCCGTTGCTGCAATGAAAAAATGAAATAAAACATACAAACAAATATCAGAGGAATATAATATTCCAATAACTGTGATTTTTAATAGATTAAAAGGACGTCAAACTGCAATAACATGTATTAAAAAAGGACGGTTACCAGCTTTAGCAATGAATGTTGAAAACGACATTGAAAAATGTTTAATTGCTCGGGCACAAATGGTACAACCTTGCGACAAAGCCGAGTTGAAAGAACTTGTAAGAGAATATGTTGTTATTAATAATATTTCTACCCCGTTTACAAATAACACACCCGGAGATGATTGGTAATATTTATTTATGAAGCGTCACCCAAGCCTGAGTTTTAAAAAACCAGAACAATTGCAAAAGCTAAGAAAAGATCCAAGGAAACCTGATATAATATATGACTTTTATGATAAATTACAACAGGTTTACATAGATAATAATATTTCTGACAGTGCATTTATCTTCAATTGTGATGAAAGTGGTTTCCAAACAGATCCATCAAAGCTTAAAGCTATTGGACAAAAAGGTATTGCATTAAGTCGTATTTCAGGTGGATCTGGTAGAGAATCGATTTCTGTGTTGGCTTGCTGTACTTCAAATATAATTTATTTACCACCTTTTATTATACTCAGAGGAAAAGAAGTACAGGCCAGATGGACATCAGGTAAATCTTATCCTGGAACATTATATTCAGTTTCAAATAATGAGTGGATGGAAGAGACACTTTTTTATAACTGGTTAAATACAATGTTTGTATATTATATCAATGCTCTACGAAAAGAACGAAATATGGAACAACAGAAA